GTGGGGCCGGCCCCCCGAGCGCCCCGCTTTCTCCTCTCCGGCCTCTTGCACCGCAGCCCCTGCGCCCCGTCGTAACCCGCTCGCCACCGGGCTCTTGTCGGCAAAATGCTGTGCCTCGGCTTCGCCCCGCTGCTTGCGCTGGTGCTGGGGGCCACCCTGGGGGCCGCCTTCCCCCAGCAGGCCCCGAAGAGCTGCAGCCTGTCCAAGTACCAGTTCCTCGTGCCCCACGAGCTGAAGGCGGTGAAGAAGATGAAGGATCATTTTGTGAGTACCAACTGGCAACGGGGGGCTACGGGCTGGCGGGGGATGCCGAATTCTAGATCCTGGGTGACTAGGTGGATGTTTTCTGCAGCAAACTGGGGACGAGGAGGATGTTTTCCAAGGGAGTTTGGGGACAAGGAGGATGCCGGGCCAAATTTTGTACTGGTTTCAAACCCCTCAAGGCTGACTGGGTTTGCACAACGTTGCCAAAAGTCAAGATGGCAGTTTTTCAGTCTCTCTCTTGGTTTATGCCTGCAGGAGGACATCATGCTGCTGTCGGACCGCAAATGCAACACCATGCTCTTCCATCGGAAATGGAACGCGGCAGAGCTGTCGGTAAGAGTGAGGCGATGCTGTAAAAAGCGGGTACAGGGTCCACCCCAGGACCTCCCATCCTCCAGTCCCACCTCCACCCACACGTCCATCCTCCAGCCCACGGCCAGTCCTGGCGCTTTGGGTCCCTAACCGGGATGCTACCGCCCGCAGGTGCCCGACCGAGTGATGCTGGTGGAAGCCGAGCTGGACTTCGCCACTGCTATGCTGGGGCTCCCCGCTGACCCCAGGTTCGCCGAGACACGCCAGCGGCCCCTGGCCTTCCTCACCCAAGCCCGGGAGGACCTGCGAGGCTGCGTGAGTGTCCCCCTCCCAAAACCTGGCGGCCCTGTGCTGGCTCGGCGGCCCCGGTGCAGGCAGCCGCGCCACGGGGCAGCACTGGTCCTGAGGCAGCTGCTTTCCCTGCAGGTGGCCACAGAGGCTCCTTCGCATCAGCCCTCCGGGAAACTGAGGCACTGGCTGCAGAAGCTGCAGATGGCCAAGAAAACAGTAAGTCAGGCCAGCAGGGCGAGGGGGTTTCGGGGTGTTAGCCACCACATGGTTGCGGGGGGCCTGCTGCACCCCGGCTCTGGTGCTAACCCACCCTTTCTCCCCACCACAGGAGACTGATGGCTGCCTGGAGGCCTCCGCCATCCTCCACCTCTTCCAAGTGCTGAACGACCTGCGGTGCGCGGCGCTCCGGGAGCAATGCACTTAGGCCCTGCCAGCAGCGTGGCCGGCACGGCGCGGCATGGCTCGCAGGCCCCAAAGGATGCCCTGGGGACCAGGAAAAATGATTTTTATTGCATCACTGGACTGTATTTCCTACTTAAGCATTTTTGTTATTTATGTGAGCTCAGGGAGCTTTTTTTTTTTCCCCACAGTCTTTTAAATTATTGGGGCTTACGGTGTATTTATGAATGGCTCAGGAGTAGGTGAAGAAATGCCTTCCCTGAAAGATGCTGCTCAGTGGGGAGGGATGGGATGTTATTTATTGGATGTCTTTGTTTTGCTGGGTTTCAAAACACTGACTTTTTAAGGAAATCTATTTTTTTACCTATTTATTACAGAGTATATTATGTATATTTGCCTGTGTAATTTTTTTTACGTGCCATTTAATATGAAAAATAAAATAGATACCATAAACAGACAAGCTGCCGTCATATGGTTTTACTACGTTTTGTTATACTGTCATCCCCTCAGAAAAGCGAGTTACTAAGGGGGGGGGAGGGGGGCATGGAAGACATTGAGGCAGGTTTTGAGCATTTGTAAATTAGCAACCGTAGGCACTCGTGTTCGTCTCCAGCTGCCTGGGGGTGCACCCTGACTGTTCCCCCGGGGTTTGCCCTCAGGCACTTGGATGCTGTTGTGGCCAGGGCTGTCCTTGTCCACTCGGGGACAGGAGCCTGCTGGCCACCCAGTTCTAGGATGGGTGCCTGCGTTGGCCAGTGCACACCAGGGCGCAAAGCCTGGAGGAGCCCATGACCTAACATGACACTCGCATCCTGGTATGGGCTGGGCAAGCTGCCAGATTCAGCCGTCCCGGGAGCTCTCAGAAGATCCGTGAATGATTTAACCACCAAATCAGAGCTCAGGATGAGTGAGGAGCCGGGGCAGGCAGGCACCCAGCGGGTAGGGAAGGAAAGTGACCCGTG